TTATATTTGCCTATTTGCTTCATTGTGATTGAAGTGATTGAAAAATAAATAAATATTTTGTAAAAGAGATTAATTATAGTTTTATTTTTGTTTTTTAGTTGTCAATATCAAGGTCTAAAACCAGCAAAACCTCGTAATGAACGATATTTTGATCCTGCTACTAAACTTCATGTTGCTTTTGATTTACCTTATATCAAGTAAAAATTAAAAATCATAGAAAAAATAATTATATAAAATAATATTTCAATTTAGATATTTTCTTGCTCATGTTTTTCAGTTTCAAATATTTGATATTTTATGTCAACAAACTGATCATCAAGGACCTTTACATTTATGTGATTTGTATGGTTCAGTTGCTGCTGGAAATAAACTTAAGTATATTTATTTATTTATTTATTTAATTTATGTTATTTTGTACATAAAAAAGAACTGATTTAGAATATTACTTGGACTTGGTTCATCAAAACCTTGGGAAGATATATTAGAAGAATTTGCTGGTGTAAGAACATTTTCTGCTAAATCATGTTTACGATATTTTCAACCACTTCAAGATTATCTTGAAGAATTAGTTAAACAAGGTCAATTAAATATTGGATGGACATGTAATAATAAGAGTAATTCAAGACGAGAAGAATTATTTCGAAGAAATTATTTTTTATTTATATTTATGAATATTATTTTGTCGATTAGTTATTTTTATTTGTAATTTAAAAGAAGATGTTTTTGTTTTGTATTTGTCATGAATTTTTCGAATTTGTTCTTTTTTGATTTTTAATCATAGATTTGTTTAGAATGAGGAATAAATATGATAACTTCTGAATTATAATCAAAGATATGAATAAACTAATGGTATTCAATGAATATAAATATTGGAGAGGATGATTATATTTAGTCTGTGAATAGCGTACTATAGCATATCGATCAATTCATCTATACAAAAAATGCAATGAATCAGAAAGAAATGATAACTAATTAGTTTGTGTATACACAACTAGTCAAAAGTATCCCCTTCCTCGCAGATCTTAGTGCCAGAATGGTCCAAGTTAGAACAAAGTTATAATGGATGGTGTTCACCATCAATGTAAATCTCATAACTCAAAAACACATAAAATTTCTAAATCGTCCAATCGGTCATTTTCTAGTCTTGCATTATAGCTGTTTCTGATATATATTTTATTGAAGTTCTTCAAGCTATTAACGAAGTAGGTCACTTTTACTGAAAATATGAATATGCAAAAAACAAACCATAGAATGCCATTGAATGGTCAATAACTCAGCGATAGTTTGATGAATCAATATGAAATTCTCAGAAGATGTTCCATCATAGTTGGCTATTAATTATTAGCTGAAAGTTTTAGAAGCAAGCAGTTTACTAAATGAAACTGTCACAACAATGTTCATCATGAACTTGTCAATACTTTGGAGTCTCAATTACTCAAGAAAGTGAAGTCATCGTTTGAGAAATGAAGGATCATGAGTTAGACTACAGTTTTTTGCTGAAA